ATGATTGCAATTGCATTAGTCACAGATTAATTTGGAAGCAATTAACACAAGCAGTACTGAGTCTTCTTATGTATGAATTTCGTATTTCTATGTACTTAGACCAGTGATATTTCGTAGTGTTTAGTAGAGTGGATCTTGCTTATCTCTTGCTTATTTATTTCCAAGTATTGATTTTTCTTTGACATTATTGCAAACGGACCGGCTTTTTAAATTCTACCTTAATATTATGTACTGTGAGTATACAGGAGTTTCACTGAGTCTTATCACATCCTGTGCCTTGCTAACACTTGTATATATTCTAGAAGCTACTTCAGAGGTAGGGTTTACTGTGTAGCTAACCAGGCTGACTGAGAATGGCATCAGTTTTAACTCTTCTTTTTCAATTTGAGTAAGCATTATTTCATTTCTTACCTAATTGCACTCACCAGGACCTCCAGTGCAATATTCAATAGGAGTAACATTACACATTCTTGCCCCTTTCGCTTCTCCCCTTTTTCCCGCTTCTCCCCCTCCCCTTCCTTTCTTATTAGTACATGTTAGTAATACAGAACAGCAAGGTTCATTTTAGAAATCAGTACATGTGCATAACATATTGATAATTTTTAATCCCTTTGTTTTCCTCTTCCCTACCCTTTCCATCCCCTTCCACACCTCTTAAAGCCTACTTTGTAGTTTCCTGTCATCATTCATTCATTCCTTTATTTATTTATACTGCAGATTTCCTGTAAGCAAAAACATGGAGTATTTAACTTTCCAAGTCTGGCTTATTTCGCTTAATGTGGTGGTCACTTTCCATTTTCCTGAAAATGACAGGATCTTGTTTTTCTTTATGGCTGAATAATACTCACATTTTTCTTTGTCTGTGTTGTTGACAGGCAGGTACTCTGTTTCCACAGCTTAGCTATTGTGGATTGTGCTGCTGTAAATATGAATGAGCACGTATTGCTGTCATAGCCTTTCTTAGCCATATAAATTTTAACTTTCTCATCTCACGACTCAGAAGGGTCTCACTGGTTCTTCTATCTGAAATACACGTCTTCTGCCTAAGACCATCCTCTCAGCATCATATTTAATTCCTTGATGCCTTTACCACAAGCAATATTTGCTGTGCATCTCTTACACTACTCTTTATTTCTCTGGGGTGAAAAGCACCCTCTGTCTTGCCCATTTCATCTGTGGTGCACAGCCCAGTAGCTCTTTGTAGACACTCAGTAGATGTTTTGTAGAATCAGCCAGTATTGGTAGGAAATTTTAGTACACAATTCATCTTTTCAGTGTTTTAATCTCCTGGGAAAAACTGAGAATAGGTATTTTTTGTTGCAAAATATATTTCTCTTTCCTACTTTCTAATTTTTTTTTTTTTGTACTAGGAATTGAACTCAAGACCTCATGCTTGCAAGGCAGGTTGAGCAGTATCACTGGCCCAACTTTCTGATTTTTTTAAAGGAGGTCAAGATTTAGAATTTCTCATAGAAGCTACATGCATTTAAAGCTGGCAAAAGCTCTTAGCATATAATATTTTTAAAAAACAGTATAATTCTTTGTACTAAATTTTGTAAAATGCTATAGTAGCAAATTGAGATAGTTTGCTATTCCCAAGTGTCATATACAACCAGGAAATTTTCAGGAGTCCAGATATAGAAACAAGACACAGCATTTCCACAGTTATTTAGTCAGCAGTACTGAGTCACTATTTTTATTTTTTAAAATCTGGAGAATGTTAATGATGAAGTGAGCTTTTCAGGTGAAGTATAGTGGCACCTTGTTTCATGACTTGTTCCATGATTTTGGGGAACACGGCTGTGATTGTGTTTGTGTAGAGAAGATGGCCATGATAGTGTTTGTCACCTGATGGAGAGTTTGTGAAGGGAAGCAAAATTAAACTGAGCAGTTTTGTTTGCAAACTGAGTTGTTTACAAACAGAAGTGTTAATGAACCAGAGTATTACAGTGTTCCCTTATTTTTACCCTTTAGTTTTTGCTCTGATTTTCTCTTTGTGTAATTTAAAGTTGATGAAGGTAAATTTCTTTCAGCCTAGAACACAGTGATCTAGGATTTATTCAAAGTGCAAAGTATCTTTCCTTTTGCTCCATTTAAACAGCTTCATTTAAATGACTGTTGGAAAGTAAAGCTTCAGTTTATGTACTGACGTGATGAAAAATACAGTTCTTTTTTCCTGTAGTATATTGAAATAATTTGTTGGCTTACTGTATACCTTAGTGGTGGAAATTGTGTTAAAGAAGTAGATGAAAACATTCGCAGGTGAATGATCATTTATTCATTTATCCTACCCACTCCTTCCCTGGTCCCCCCTGTCTCTTCCCTTTTCCTTGCTCCCTTCATCCTTCCATCCTTTGTTCTCTCCTCGTGGTTTTTCTGGGTGCTGCATAAAACACCGTGGCCCTTCATTTGCAGCCAACATTGTGGTGGGGAGGTAGACATCAAGGACGTAAAAGTGTGGTAGTGATGAGTTTTGTTGGTGTAAGTGTTATAAACAGAGAGCGAGTGTGTGTGTGTGTGTGTGTGTGTGTGTGTGTGTGTGTGTATGAGAGAGAAATGAGAGAGCATAAGATTCAGAAAGGCCTCATTTAAACAAGGAGGATTAAACAGAGCTGGGCGAGCCCAGCAGGTCCAGGGCAGGAGTGTGCTAGAGATAAGGGCATAGCAGGTAAGAAACTCAGAGAAGGCAAAGTGCTTGGGCTTAGAGGAACTAGAGTGTGGCCTGTAGGAAGTGATGAGCCCAGGAGAGAGCTGTGGGCTGAGGAAACAGCTTCATCACTAGATCCCAGAGGACATGGTGGGCTGTGACAGGCATCCCAGTGTCATTCCAAGTGCAGTCAAAAGCAGAGGGGCCAGCCAAGGATTTAGCTCAGCTGTGTAAGCACCTGCCTGTTGCAAGTTCCATCCCCAGTACAAAAAAAAATAAAAAGCAAGCAAAGGATCCATTGTGTGGTTCTTTCGCTCTGCCATTTAGATGTTTCAAGAACATTTCTGCTATAATGAAAATACCTAAATCCAAATTTTCACTTCCAAAGAGAAAAAGAAGTACATGAAACAAAACCCAGCAACATTGGAAGAAAGATGAACACAACCCCCGTCACAGATGGAGATTCCAGTACTTGCCAGATGGGTGACAGGGAATGAGTAGTCAGATGTCTAGTAAGAGCACAGAGGATGGGTAAGGGTTAATTACTTCCTGCTGTTCAGCGAAACTTGCACCCTTCAAAAGAACAGTGTGGCTCTAAAATCAAACCAGTAAATTTAAAAGTTTTGACATCATACTGAGTATGTTCCTTACTGTAACAGAGTTAAGTGGAAATCAGTATCTGAAGAATATCCCAAATATTCAGAAGTTAGACTACTCACTTCAGAATGACTCATGCATCAAAGAAGAAATGACAAAGGAAATGAGGAATTCCTTAGAATGAAAGAAAATGAAAAGACAACCAAAATATTAGCTGGGTGGGCAGCCTACCTCTGTAATCTCATACTCTGGGAGACTGAGGCAGAAGGATCGCAAATTTGAACCCAGCCTAGGAAACTTTGTGACTTAATGAAACCCTGACTCACGATTTTTAAAAAGGGGAGTGGGGGCTCTGGACACAGCTCAGTGAGAAGGCCCTGGGTTCAATCCCCAGTACTGAATATATGAACACACAAGCAAAGCACTGTGCCCTCTGTTCCTCCTGTTTCTTGCTCCCTTCCTCTGTCAGGCCACTGCAGTGTCTCTATGAGACTAGTAAGGCCGTGTGCTCCATGCTTCCCCTACCCCAGGGGCAGCCTGGCCTTGCCAGTCTCACCAAGCATCTGAACTCTTTCCTTCAGTCTGATGAACACACACTGACCATTCGCAAAGGTCATGTTCCATAACTGTGGGGGGGAATTCATGGCACAGAAATACACAAGTTCCAATTGAGAATCCCCACGCTAATGTTAATAAAAATCTTGTCACAGTTGCTTCACTTTTCTGAGACTATGCCCAGAGAATTCTCACACACCTTCTCCCTACATTTTAGACTTTTTGTGACTGTTTCTTCAGTTCCCTTCTGTGGCTTCTGTTTCTATTAACAGTCCCTTAGTTGCTATGGCTTCTTAGAGTTTTGCAGTCTTCTTCTGTCCACCAGGATCCTGGAATTAATTTGTTCTGTTCATTTAGGCCCAACATGTGGGACATTTTGCTGGACACTAGTCTTGCAATGGGTGGGAAACTTAACCAGATAATTAAAGAGTGGTGAATATTTAGCGAGGGATATTGAGGAACTGTGGAACGAGATATTCATTCAGTAAGTATTCATTGACCTCATGTGTACCATGGAATGTGCAGTATCATCCAAATCAACTTTACGTGGAAAGGGAAAGGTGGATTTCATTGTGAGGGCTGAGTTAGGCGTCTTTAGGCTTGAGAGTAGGGGTTGGTGTTCTAGAGGCAGGTTATTGTCTCCAGGTAAGGCATGCTGTCATAAAAGAGCAAAGAAGGACATGAGAGTCAGCAGTCTGCCCTGGCTGAGGCATTTGGTGGGACATTAGGGAATGAGGGGCAAGAGAAGGATCTAGAAAGGTCATGAATATTCTCTCTCCTTAGGAAGCTCAGCTCTGCTTCCTCAGGCCCTGTGTTTGTCAGCTCGTGGCACTACTCTCCAGCCCTTCTGCGTTCCCAGTCTTCTTTTCTGCTTTGGTCATTATTCTTTGGCTGTAATTACTACAGTGACCAGGGAGGGGCCCCAAGTGGTAGTGACCTTGAGCAAGTGCTGCTGATGGCGCATTTTTAAAACACAGGCTTCTGAGCAGAGAAGGGTCCCAAATCTGGGAGCCAGAGTATAGACTCTCTTACCTGGAGCCATTAGGTTTCATTGGCCTCTTGAAATCCTGGTTTTTGTTTCATATGTATATGGCAGGGGTGGAGAGATTGAGGCATAAACTCATTGGTTCTGAAGATATACTCTATGGGATAAAATTTCAATTTAGTTCCCATCCTGAATTCTTGTATTCTTTTCCTTCAGGTTTCTTGCTATTCAAAGATTTTTGTTTGAATGAAATTAATGAAGCTGTACCTCAGGTGAAGTTTTATGAAGAGGTAAGAAGTAACTTATCCTGAGATTTTATTTCAGAAAACATATTGTAACTGTGCTTTGGGAAATATTAAGACTATAAAGCATCTTCCACATATTTAGAAACTAATTAAAAGTCATTAGCAATGCAAAATATAATACATAATTTATCTGAGATGCTGACAGCAGCTACAGAGGACCAGGCATGTTATTAAAATCATATTCCTAAAGGCTTTGGCATATAGTGGGAGCAATGAGGAAGAGCTGAATTTCCAGAGATAGAAGATCCTTTATAAGTGCACTAAAGATTACCAGCAACTTTATCTCCAGTAAAGGCTAATTCTGAAGATGTGAATCACACCCCAGAGCTGCTCCTGGGTCTGGGAGAGAAGTTGGCAGAGATTTCTGGTCATACTAGAGTAACAATTATAGACAGGTGGAATGAGTTGGGATTGCAAATACAGAAATGGTGAAATCTGCAGCTGGAGAAGGACTGAAGTCTTTGGAATGCAGAAAGTCAGCTGTACAGAGATAAGTGGGCTTAACAGCTACAAACGTACTAGAGACAGAAGGCCGAAAACAGGACAGGCAAGAGAGGACAGTCCTCAGGGAGTAGTCGGCTGACAGCTACTTGTGTTAGCTGGACTAGCTGTTAACTCATGATGCATTGGGCAGAAGGAAATTCTGGCACAAGAGAATTCAGGCCTGGCCCTGGGCCGGAAGTTACTTTTGGGAGACAAACAGACCAGAAGAGGTTTCTGGAACTAAACTAAAAATCATATGGAGCTGGGTGTTTCGATGCATGCACGTGGTCCCAGGACTCTGGGAAGCTGAAGCAAGTTTGAGCCCAGACTGGAGTTGTGCAACACTTTCACAATAAAAAATACAAAAATGAATAGGGAGCGTAGCTCCATGTGGAGGCCTCTAGGTTCAGTCCCCAGTATGGCTCAGTCAATCAATCAGCCAATCAAACCGGACTGGAGGGATCCCAGGTAGGTGTTTAGTTTCATTCCTAAGACACATGCCAAGGTCTGAAGCTGAGTGGGGTGGGGGACCAAGAGCTAAAACAGGAACTTCTCTATGAAAGAACTGGATGTAATGCTAAGGAGACAGAGATCCATGGAGGATTATGAACAATATGCAAAAACTTTGCCATGTCAAATACACAGCAGAAAATTACTAGACTTGCTATAAGGCAAAATGTCTGACTCCTAAGCAAAGTGACAGAAGATGTTGTTTCTGTGGCTCTGGGCACTAGAGGTAGTTATCAAATACTTTAAAATAACCATGAATAATACATTCAGTAAAAGGTGGGAAAACAGATCTCAGCATAATTTGAAATTATTATAAAGAGCTGAATGGGAACAGATAGAACAGATAGTACAGTATTTGAAGTTGGAACTTAATGGTTAGGTGAAGCACAAGCTAAGATAATACATAGGAAGGGAAATCGGGAGATAGCCTCAGACCAAAGCAAAGATAGGAAAGAATAGAGAAAGAAATAGATAAGAATATTAAAGATATGTTTAAAGGCCTAATGCATGTAGAATTAGAGTTCCAGAAAAGAAAGAATAGGGTAGAAGCGATATTTGAAGAGACAATACTAAAAATTTTACAAAATGGTGAAAAACAGATACTTAAAATTCAAAGAAGCTTAAAATCCATGCCTGCCACTCATCACTAGACAGAATGAATACAAAGGACACATGCCTGTGCACATCAGTGTGAAGCCACAGAAACTTAGAACGAGAAAATCTGAAAAGGATGCCGAGGGAGTCACGTTACTTTTAAAGGAGCAGCAGTTAGAGTGACTGTGACACAGAAGGGAAGCCACAGCACTGGGCTAGGTGATGAATCAGCCACCTTTAAAGTACTGGAAGAAAACTCTTGCAGTCTAGAATGCTATTCTCAGTCAGATTTTCCTTTAAAAGGGAAAGAGAATTAAGAAATGTTCATACAAAACAACAAAAAGCAAACAAAAAAACAAGAGAATTTGTCAGTAGTAGACCTGCATTGCCAAGTAGTGCAACTGAGATACAGGGAGATACTTTAGGCAGACAGGAAGTGATCCTGTGGATATGCAGAAGGGAAGGATGAGCGACATGGGTGAGTCTGCATGTGAAATGTAACTGAGCCATGACATTTCAAACAGTGACATGTTTCTAGAGTGTATAGTGTGTGACAGTCACACAAAAGGCAAAAGACGACTTACCAAGATAAACTATGTTAAAATCCTAGGATTATTGGTGGGAATAATGAAAGTAATCATCTGCATTAGGTTGTACTCAGTATGTCTAATAAGTTAAAAGAGAAAAGTAGGATAAAAGCCATTTGATTGATCAAAAAGAGGTCATAGAGGAATAAAAAGGGCCACAGAATTGATAGCTCAAATTGAAAACAGAACAGAGTAGTATGATAGCTTAAATATAGTTACCTTTCATGTAAATGAACTAAATACACCAAAGTAAAAGACTTGAGTTTTTCAGACTGGATTGACAAATGAATCCCTTTTATATACCACTTGTAGGAAAAATACTTCTGTAGAAGGAAGGATGGATGATTATGCTATAATGTACATACTCTATCAGCACTAATCAGGTGAACTACCTGGTTATGCTACTTTGAAATAAAGACAGATGTCCTTGATGATAAAAGGGTTGATCCAACTGCTTTCCCAATCTTAGGTCTGTATGTTACAAATAACACAACTTCAAAGTATATAATGCAAACATAAGCAGATACAAAACAAAACCACAACTCTAGTAAGAAACACTAACATACTCCCTTAAAGAACTTAAAAGAAACAAAATCATTAATAAAGACTGGGAAGCTCTTAATAAAGCAATGAGTAAAATTGACATATGTAGAAGCTGCACCTAGCAAAAGTAGCATTCATTCAACGTTCTTTTTTTTTTTTTTTTTTTTTTTTTTGAGACAGGGTCTCTCTGTGCAGTTCGGGCAGGCCTTGAGCTCACTTTGTAGCCCAGGGTGGTATTGAACTTGGAATGATCCTCCTGCCTCAGCCTCCCAAATGCTGGGATTACAGGCGTGAGCATTCACATTCTTTGAATTACATGCAGAATAGTTTTCAAAATAGATCATGTGTTGGTTCCTTTAGAAATTTATAAATTTCAAGATTGAAATAGCTCAGAGTATCTTTTCTGACCACAATAAAATTAAGCTCAAAGAAATCCTTATGTGCCTGGAAATGAATACACCTTGAAATAATTTTAAGTCAAAGGAGGAATTAAAATAGAAATTAGGAAATACTTTAAAATATTTTTAATAAACAACATATACTATTATTAACATCATGTGTTTTTACCCTAAATCATTTAAATGATCCAAAGAAAATGTAGCATAGTGATGCCTGTAGTCTTTGTGCATATTTGAAAATTGAGAAGAAATTCCTTTCCTTCAAGATTTTTAGAGATACAGATACAGATAGGAAAATGTCATGTTTTTTCATACTTTAGAAACTGTATTAATGTATCTTCAGAAAAAATGGTCAAATTATGCCATACATTTGACATCATGTAGAAAGGTAATATGAACCCAAAAAGATTTTACTTGGTATAAAGTTAACCTTATTGTTTGCATCTGAATCCTAATCAGGCATTTTATCTAAAGAAGTATCACAGCTTGAACTGTCAAAAAAATTTTTTCTTTCCTATGTTCCTAAAAGCTTCACCTCTCCAACTTCAGCATGTACTAAGTCACCTTGTCAAATGCTGAGAAATCTCCTTAAGCAGATAACTGGGTAGAACAGATGGGCCATCTACATGGTAACTTAAGTACACACTTCTTTGAGTGTGCTGGTGCCTTGTTGGCGTGCATTCGTCTGAACTTTAAGCACTGGTGTTTCACCTTGTCAGCTTCCCTCCCGTCTCTTCTCACCTCTCTTCTGATTTGGCCCATGGTGGACCTGGCTTATCAAATGACTCCCTGGGAAGATGCTCCACTGCTCCTTGGCAGCTTGCCCTCTGTTCTTTGGAGGATGCCATCTGACCTTGGGACTCAAGTACAACTCTGTCAACTCTGAAGCATTGACATTCTCAGTTATTCTTCTTTGGCCCCTGCTTTTGTCACTGTAGTAGATTCTTTAATTTCTGGTTGGTTTTGACCCCAGGTTTCAGATTTTACCTGTGTCTTGATGTGGTACATTTTGTAATTACATTTCTACTTTTTCATGTCCCCAGATTTGTCACAGTGCACTCCCTTTTTCTATACATGAGAGTCCTAGTTGCTTGTTGCAGTGCTTAGTTATCTCTTATATGACTTGTTGCCTCCTTCTTCCTTTCTCTCTCATGATATCCAACATCGAACTTCCCCTCCAGCCAGACCTGACCAGCCAGTGTTCCCTGGGACCTCCCGATCCGTTCTTGTTCTGTCATTGTAGAGTGTATTGTGCCTTCCCACCCTGGATGCTACAGCTTCTTCCAGCCATTGAGATGAGTTGCTTTTCAGAGCCAGCTCAGCAGGGAAGGTCTCTGCACCCTTTTCCATCCTGGTGTGCATCCTTCTCTGCCTCACAGTTTGTGGTTTGTGCTGTCCTGTCCTGTATTCTCGGTCCTTGCTTCTCCTATGCATGATGAATTTTTCACTTCACCCATTATTGGACATGTTGACAAAAGGCCTCACCGGGACCCAGCTATGGCCTTGTCCCTCCCTTACTATGGGATACTGGCAAGTCTCTTGGAACCTCTGTCTGTTTCAGACCTTGGTCAGTACCCATCTCAGAGATGTCCTCCTTGCCCTTGAGGGGCCCACAGTATGCAGACATGAGATCAGAGCTCCAGGTCATCATCTCCTGCCTACCTCACAGGCTAATTGGGGCTCATACTGGACACTGAATGAAAAGTTACTATAGACTGTGTCATGTCTATGGTGTTCTGTTCAGGCATAGGAGGGCCATGTGACACAGGGGTCAAGAGTTCCACCTCTGAGCTCAGACCACCTGGGCTCGAACTCTGCCACTTACTAACTGTGCATCCTGGGTGACCTTTCAGCTTCTCTGCACCTGGGC